ATCACCCGTACTGCATACCGCCACTTCTGATTTTTTCTACATACATACTGCCACTTGCTAGTATGTCTAGATACACATCCCTAAACACCAGAGTAAAGGCCATTGCACACCAAATCCACATTTTTCATTCAAAAATAAATACAACCTCATGCACCAAAACTGTCGTCATCAAAGTTTTCAGAACAGGTGAGAGAATGAGGACGCAGACAGAGAGGGAAGACAGCTCAGCCTCTTGTAGCCGCAGTAGCAAATGCAAGGGGAACAAGTAAAATTTTGAGTGAAGTAACTGTAACTTACTACAATTTTTCAGTAACACTGCACAAGGGGCACCAGCAGCGGTCTCCTGGGTTAAAGTCAGGTGTTTGTTTCAGCCACCCATCCACCCCACCACCTCCATATTTGGACTTTCCTGCTCTTTATCCTACGTCACCTGACATCAACCCTCCTCAGTGCATCCAGAAATTACCTACAGCGTATTCGGAAACACCAGCACTGTGTAATAAATGCAGGCAAGGTGTGAACTCTTACTCTCACTGTAAATGTGTGTATTTTCCATAAATGCTGATCAGATGTAAGATTCAGCATGTTGACATACACGTAGTGTCGGTTGCCAAGGAAACAGGAAATGTACATAAAAACAAAGCTGCTTCTTATAATTAGGTGTGTGTGTGTGTGTGTGTGTGTGTGTGTGTGTGTGTGTGTGTGTGTGTTAATTGAACTGATTGCTAAGAGACCGTCTCGTGGCTCAGAACAATCAACACCAGGTCTGATTTGATGACTCAATCAGTAAACACACACACAAACCCTCATTTTTTAATAGTAAGTTGTTTACTTGTTTGTTGATCATTAATTGCTGCATTACATTTGGTTCTCATATAAACACTGTTGAAACAAATATTTTACAACTTATTTAATAAAGTTTCAGCCAAAAAGTCCAGATGAAACACAAATATAATTTTTTTTAACACTTTAAGATTGCATTCTCAGTTATATTGTACCCCATGTAACAATTTATGCCAAAACCTTGTACGAAAAAAAAGAATTTCTTGATAATTTATATCAAATCCAATTATTATCAGTGTGTCCTATGTCCTTTGGCTGCACTGCCTCAACTCACTAACGCTAATGTAGCTGCAGTTAGCTAACTGCTAATGTAGCTGCCATTAGCGTGCAACTGAATGGGGCTCAGCAGCCTCCCAGTGAACACAACCTCAGAGACATAAGTTGTAGATAGTACCAATAGAACCACTCCTGAACTGGGATGGTGGGGTGGAGCTAGAAACCCTGCAGACTCTGATTGGTCAGAAAGAATCAGAGTTTGTTGTCATGTTCTGACATAGGATTTCCAAATTGATGATTATTTCTGCTTCATTCAGCTGCCTGCACCCTTTTCTCAAAAAACGATCCCCGGCTCCTCCTGCTGCATGACGAAGTGAACCCCAAATTGCTCCCGATGCCATGTTTTGTGTGTGTATATGTGGATGAATGAGTTAGTTTCTGTCTGTGATGAATTTTGAAATGGTGAATGTGGCATGTAGTGTAAAAGTGCTTTGAGAGTAGAAGGTGCAACAGTCCGTTTACCATTAACAACGTGTGATGGTTTGGGGTTTTATTTGAGTTATTTCCTGTTTTATTTTTAATACTTACCTCTGCTCTTGTGTCACTTCACTTTTTCCCACCAGTTTTAATTGTCTGCCGCCCTGATTAGTTTCACCTGTGTATCCTTCCCTCACCTGAGTAGTTAGTCTTTGTGTTTCCTTGTTTCATTGCCATTTTGTCTTTGTCTGCATGTGCATGGAATTACCCAATGTGTTTCTGAACTTTCTTATTTGTTTGCCTGTTGGATTGCCTTCCTGGTTTTGAACTAAGTCGGTAAGCTTTGTCTCTTTGTTTAAATATATCATTGAACTGATCTTGTCTGCCTGCTGCTGACTTGCATGAATAGTGACACAAAGGTTGTGTCTTTGTTGTAATAATCAACCACATACTGTGTGAGAGAAGTTGGCAGAAAAGTGAGCAAAGCAGAGGAAAAGGTTTACAGTTAGTTGTCAGTCTAGTAGTAAATGTATAGTGAAAGTCATATTACAGTCTCCTGGACTGCAACCATGATGTGCTGGAGAGGCTTTTAACCTCCAGTGACCCTGAGCACTCTGTCGGATGGTAGGTTTAACCAAAGTGTGAGGAGGAAGACAAAACAGTCTCTGGTTCTCAAGGTAAGGAGTTTGACGTGGGCTTAACTACCACAGTTTTATTTGTATAGTGTATTTATATACACAGTGTAGGTGGTGCTAGAAGCTAACTGCTGCTAACAGTAATGTTAGATGCCATTAGCTAGCTAGCTTATGCAGCTAACATTGGCTGACTCAGCCTTTGGGATGCCAGGAGCTCTATGACTTGTGGTTAACTTTTTTTTGCACCAATTCGTAAAAGTTATCTCAGGACACTTTTCAAATAGAGCAGGTCCAGACCGTACTTATTTACAGAGACCCACCATGAGCAAGACCTTGGTGACGAGAAGATTGGAGCGTTATAAAGGCCTTTAAGTTTACTAAGACCCCTTCCTTTATCAGACCTTCAATTGTTGGTCTGATAGCCCCACATCACTCATTAAAAATGTCTCTGCATTTCCCTGATATACTGCTTATTTTGGATAAACATTTACTACAGTGGGTTTCCATTCCTAAACTTATATTGCTGTTTTTACCATTGCACCTAGTTTGTGAAACTCATGTCCCTCTAATGTCAATAGTGTTGTGTGGGGAGTGGAGTTCTGAACCTGAAACCACCCTTGTAGTTCTGGTGGAAGTATCACTTCCACACCCTGTGGCCCTATGTAGATATCTGTGACGATAACGGAGCATTAATTCTTATTGGTTAATTCTTCCCAGCATGCCTTATAATCGTTGTGGGTTTGATGTTCACTATAGGGGAGACTGCAGTGTAGAGGTAATTGGGGTTCATCAGCCTTACCAACCTGGGCTCATACCCATGACTCACGTTTTCCATTTTTAGCATTGCATCGACTCTTATGATGTCAGCTGGAGCCAATACACCATCGGTTGCACACAGCTGGAAACCTTTTGCTGAGTTCTTGCAGGCAATTTTCCTGTTGGTGGATCTAAAGGAAACTTGATATAGAGTCACATGATGTGACTGTGATGATGTTAAACACTTGGCCCCAAAAACCTTAGAGACTCAGTGCCTAAGATATAGTTACTTTAGATGACATTACCTTGGCCTCTAGCACCACTGTCAGGAATCTTGGAGTTATCTTTGATCAGGATTTGTCATTTAATTCCCACATAAAGCAGACCTCTAGGACCGCCTTCTGTCATTTATGTAATATTACAAAACTTAGACACATCCTGTCACAGACAAAACTAATCCATGCATTTGTTACTTCAAGGCTGGATTACTGCAACTCTTTATTATCAGGCTGCCCCAATAAGTCCATTAAAACGCTCCAATTAATTCAGAACGCTGCAGCACGCGTACTGACAGGAACTAGAAAAAGAGATCACATCTCTCCTGTACTAGCTTCTCTGCATTGGCTCCCTGTAAAATGTAGAATAGAATTTAAAATCCTCCTCTTCACCTATAAAGCTCTTCCTGGTCAGGCCCCTTCATATCTTAAAGAGCTCATAGTACCCTATTACCCCTCTAGAACACTACGTTCTCTGAATGCTGGGCTACTTGTGGTTCCTATAGTCTCTAAAAGTAGAACAGGAGCCAGAGCCTTCAGTTACCAAGCTCCTCTCCTGTGGAACCAGCTTCCAGTTGTGGTTCGGGAGGCAGACACCCTCACCACATTCAAGAGTAGGCTTAAGACATTCCTCTTTGATAAAGCTTATAGTTAGGGCTGGATCAGGTGAGTCCTGAACCATCCCTTAGTTATGCTGCTATAGGCCTAGACTATCGGGGGATTTCCCATGGTGCACTGAGCTCCTCCCTTCCTCTCTCTTTCTGCACTCATTCATGTTCCATTAATGCATGTTACTAACTTCACTTCTTCCCCGGAGTTCTTGTGCTTTCTCGTCTCGCAAGTTCTCGTCGATCCTGGTGGAGCCTCCTGCCATGGTCCTGCTTTACTGCCATTGCCAATACTGTTGTTGCTGTGTATCTGCCTGTGTCTCTCTCTCTCTCTCTCTCTCTCTCTCTCTCTCTCTCTCTCTCTCTCTCTCTCTCTCTCTCTCTCTCTCTCCACCCCAACTGGTCGAGACAGACGACCATCCACCTAAAGCCGAAGGATCTGTCCTAGGTTTCTGCCTTTTAACAGGCAGTTTTTCCTTGCCCCTGTCGCCAAGGTCTTGCTCATGGTGGTACTGTTGGGTCTCTGTAATTAATGTTATAAGATGTTCGGTCTAGACCTGCTCTATTTGAAAAGTGTCCTGAGATAACTTCTGTTATGAATTGGCGCTATACAAATAAAACTGAATTGAATTGAATGTGTGCACATGATGTTGGCATTTAGAGGAGTGTCACTGCTGGTGTGTCTTTCTTTACCATCAGCTTCAACAAGCTTTGGGTAGTGTTGTTAGTGTCTCAGGCCCTTCCTGTTTCACCTTTCCATTTGCGCTGAAAGTGTGTAGAAATTTGGATTGACATTTGTCATCCTTCAGCACATCCTCTGCCAGTTTAGACAGGCACATTTCTTTTGTATTGTTTTCTCAGCTCTATTTAATGAAAACTATTGCAACATTCTCAAATATTTACTGAATTGTTTTTAAAAAACTATTGAAACTTGAATGTTGACATTTTCTTGAATATCTACTGAACTGTTATGGAATAAATTAAACTCTTCAAGATTAATGTATCTTTCTTAAACATCTGCTGTGTATCTGCTTCCTGTCAGTATTTAAATCAGACTAACTTTAGTTCATTCATGCTTTGCCTGTGATTGTCACTGGCCTGTGACAAACCTGTCAACAGCTCACAGTGAAACACATCAGACATGACTTCTCTTATTTTCTGACAGATGCTAGTTGAGGCTATAATTCAGATACAAAAGGAAGTGCTATCAGATGCACCTGTTCTGCTGACTCTCGTGGAAATATTAGAACGGAGACGACACATTCGTGTTCAGTGATTTCTGACTGCGGAAACTCTAAAGATCAACTGTGAGTATATGGAAAATGTACTTATGCACAGGTCTGTTTTTGTGTTAAAACATCACAGTTCAAAATCATCAAAATTTTACATTTACAGTTTGAGATTTAAAGAAAAATCTGTTGCACTCAAATCAAGGTAGTTAAGATGAGATTAATTGTGCAAACATTTCCTTGTTGTTTTATGATCATAATTAGAAAAAGTAATTGGTAGATGAATTGATAATGAAGATAATATTTAAGAATCTAGTTACAGCCCTAAATAAGATGTGTTAATTCACAAGTTTTAGTGAGATTTCCATATTTACTGTGCAGCTCTTCTCAGTGAGTCAGGAAGTGTATTTCCCAAAATGTGAAACTGTTACTTTAAAGCTTCTATATGTAACTTAAATTAACTAACTAGCTCCAAATCACCCCATCAGCCCTCACATTAGCTGGGGAAACTAATGTTAGCCAACTAACATATACACTCAGATAGTATTTTGGTACCGATAATGGTAGTGAGAAAGAAAGCTAAGCTTAGTCAGCTACCTGAAACACAACCACGCTGAATAATGTTATCCAGTGCTGGCTGCACCACAATGCCAGCCTACAGCGTAACGGCAAGCCAGCCAGATCAGCAACAGGAGCCTGCGTGAAGATAACTGACAGTATTTTGTTTGCTACGTTAAGTACTTGGCAATTCGTCCACATTAGTTAGCAAACTAACATCAGTCAGCTAAACATACAATCTCACAATATTTTCCACAAGCTTTGCAGTAATGTTAACATTGACATGGGACTTTGTGTTGGACTCTGTGTTGGACCACGTTAGCCAGTGTCGCACACTGTTGACACTGTAGGGAAGCGGAGAGAGAAGGCACTCAGGAGCATAAACGTCACATCCTTTGATCCCTACATGTAGAAATGCGTCCACAGGCAGCAGAGGAAGTCGCTATGCTACAACCCGTTCACTCACTGGCGATAAAAAGCGATTTGCTTTAGAATCTTACGTATGGTACCTTAAGGGGTGAAGTAATGTTGTGTAACATGTTGTTCTCTACAGATTTAGACCCTTCAACAACATTAACAGCAACAAATCTCCACATCACAGTAACTCAACAGACGTACCAGCGGCAGTCCCAAAAATCAGCATGCCGGCAGTGGGAAGTTTGTCTTACTCAGTACGGAGACGTCTTGTCTTACTTCTGTGTCTCCTGCTTCATCTTAATCCTTCACTTTCTTATTCGCTGAAAAGCTGCACTATCGATTATTCCAAAGATGCCTTGGCTGAAGTTATTATAGATTGCTCACAGCGTAAACTTGTTATTATCCCTGAGGACATCCCCAGAGACGCACGCTCTGTAAACCTCTACAACAATCAGATCGAACAGATTAACAATAAAGATTTCAGTGGCTTCTCAAAGCTGAAAGATTTGCGCCTGGACTGTAATCATATTGCTCACGTGGACGATGGGTCTTTTATCCATGCGGTGTCGTTGAAAGAGCTCTACATGAGCTATAACAGACTCACCAAATTGACAGCCAACCTCTTTCAGGGGTTGTCAAACCTTACCCTGCTAGACCTCAGTAGCAACAGCATTCAGTTCATTCATAACTCAGCCTTTCAGTTCCTGTCCAGCTTACAAACTGTGTTGCTAGACAGCAACATGCTCCAACAAGTCGCAGACATTCAGCCCATCCTACAGCTACCACGCATACAGAATCTGAGCATTAAAGCCAATCTGTTTCCTTCCTTCCAGACCAAAGATCTGCCGCTGAACAAGCCCTCAGGCCTGAAGGTGTTAGATGTTTCTGAAAGTAATTTTGAAAAGTTCAGCATCACAACACAGATCTTTCCTCACCTCGAGATGATAGACCTTTCTCGATTTGACCAATCTGAAGCCATGCAATGGGACATACCTGACAAGACTCTACTGAAGAACATTACTCAACTTATCTTAAGTCATACTTTCATCCCTTTTGACAATATCCAAAATATTCTGCAGAATCTCGACTCACTGAGGCATCTAAGGCTGAATTATATGGAGAGGTGGATCAACAAAGGTCTCTTAGCAACGGTCTGCAAAATACCGACACTAAAGAGTCTGGATCTGTATTTTAACCATGTCGCCAATATAAGTGCAAAACTTGAAACTTGCTCTCAGCTCAGAGAGCTTGACCTTTCGACTACTCACACGACTGAACTGTCCAAAGGCTCGTTACGACTGATGAAGCAACTACAGTCCCTAACTTTAGCAACCAACTTAATCACCAAAGTGCCAGATGACATTAGGAGTCTCTACTCTCTTGAGATCCTAGATCTTGGTGACAATATTATCTCCGAATTGGTCTGTGAGGATTTCAAAAACACAACGCGCCTCACAGAGCTTTATCTGAACACCAACCGCATTGCCAAACTGGACGGATGCGTCTTTGAAAATCTTAATGATCTGAAGATTTTAGATATTAGTGACAACCTGCTGTGGACATTTGGAGGCGCCTTTAATATAGGCCCGCAGAAACTTGAGTACTTGGATTTGAGCAAAAACTTTATCCTTATTCTTAAAAGAGGGGATTTTCAAGGTTTAGGGTCTGTAAAACATTTGGATTTGGTGACAAATCGTATCGGAAGGGTGAAACGTAGGGCTTTTGACGGACTGAACAACCTAACAACTCTTAGTGTATCTCTTCCACTCGAGTATGAAAACCACTTCAGAGAATTGCCGCACTTAGAAAACCTTACAATCTACTTCAATACCGATGGCGGATTCAGAACTCTTCAAAGTCAAGCAAGCTATCACGAAGCCTCATTTCACCTAAAATCTCTGAAAATTTTCAAAATAATATGCACAGGATATCATTATGGCTTCCCCCTTGACGTACCGGAAGAATTTTTCCAGGCTATGAAACATTTAGAGGACTTCACAGCGGAGAATGTGTATATTTCTGCACCAGATCCACAAACATTTCAATTCAACTTTCGGCTCAAGAGTCTGAAAATTTCGCAAACTGATTTGTCGGATTTAAATCCTGAACTGTTTCAGCCAATTCCAAACCTGCAGGCTCTCGATCTTTCTGAAACTAGGCTCCAGTCTTTGGATTTTCTGGCCCAGGCAAACCTGCCTGCACTCAGACAATTAAAGCTGAGTGGCAATGAGATTACAGTGATCAATGAGACAGTCTTCCAGTCTCTCCCAGCACTAACATACCTGGACCTGGACAATAACCCTTTCACTTGTGACTGCTCTAATGCGGGTTTTATCCAATGGGTGATGAACAACAAACAAACACAGGTTGTGAACGGACATCAGTACACTTGTTCCTTTCCTGCAGCCGAGCAAGGAAACAAGTTGCTGGACTTTGACATCCAGTCCTGCTGGATGGACGTTAGCTTCCTCTGCTTCATTTCCAGCACTTGTCTGGTTGTGCTAACTCTCCTCGCATCCTTCATCTACCACTTTCTGAGATGGCAGCTGGCCTACGGCTTCTACCTCTTCCTGGCCTTCGTCTATGACAACAGGAAGAGGAAGAAGGGAGCTCCTCACCACTACGACGCCTTCATCTCCTACAATGTTCACGACGAGGACTGGGTTTACAGAGAGATGCTTCCAGTGCTGGAAGGAGAACAGGGCTGGAGACTGTGTCTGCACCACAGAGACTTCCAACCAGGTAAACACTCTCTCAATCTCTATCCCTCCTTAATTAATTCATCACCAAGTGTGAACCTATCATGATGCCACCCATTGGTCAGGTTGAGAGTACTGTTTTGGCCTAATGGTTGTTGCCAAGTTTGTTTTTTGCAGTGAGTTGGGCTGCTTTCTTTGGCAGTTTTGAATCGTCCGTAGCAGGAAACAATGGCAGCTCGCCTGGTCACACGGTCAAATATGTTTTTGAACAGATTTGAGGAGAGAAATAGTCAACAACATAATCTGGATCCATACCTGATTAGCACTGTTTGACAGTTTGATTTGAGTTTGGTGTCTTGAGGTGGACGGACTCACTGAGAATGAGCTGTCAATCACAAGGTAGCCCCGCCCTAAATGCCTTTACACAGACAAACAAACAACACAAAAATGCAAAATAGTCGCCTGTGAATATGTTGCATCAAAATTACTCACAAAGGCAGTGACACAAGAATAAAAAATTAACACACTTACCGCAGACCAATCGGGGGTGTCTCAAAAAGACAGGTCACACTTACCGGGTTCATCTTAGCTGCCTGTCACGGAGCTCCAGTCTGGTCTAATAAGCTGTATTATTACGTTAAAACGCCACAAACAAAAACACAAACTAATGGAGCCAGCAACAGAGCGGACACTCTGAGTAGAAGAGAGCTTAGATGATATAATAATCCCACAGAGCAGTCTGTATAGAGGATAAACATTAACTCACTGTTGTCTTCATAATGTTTCTGTCTTTTGTCATATAATTCAAGGTGATGAAACAATTATTTGGTCTGCCATGAGTTGTGACGTGATGTCTTTTCCTCACAATGTGATTGGTTGATGACTTTATTCGTGGTGCAGTTATGTTACTTTCTCATAGTGCAATATTCTGTGTGAGAGCACTTATGACAACAACAACAGTTCAAAGAAATATATATATACGTGCATATCAATAGGCGGGATAAAATGCCCCCTGCGTTGGCTTCACTTTTACTGACTCAGACGTCCACTTATTATATTCTGTCAATGCTCATTACACTGCACCAACACCTTCGCAGCTGTTACCACAGAGGAGAATTTAATGGCAGGTTGCAACTCACTCGCTTCACCCTCCCTTTCCAAGTGCAAGGTAGAAACTACGGCGCCACATATGCAACACTAATGAGAGGCTAGGGTAAGCTTAACTTCCCCAAAGTTATCACGTAGCTACAGTGCTGTCAGTATCACATTACACTGATTTGAGTTCAGTGGCAGAGCCTACAATAACTTGTTTCTTCCTTCCTCTTTTTATCTTCTTCCTCTCAGAGACATTGTGCAGAGATATGTACTACAGTGTATTTTTAAAGTATCTGTATCACACTCAGGGGTTTCACATCTTTTTTTCCCGCTTACAAGGTCTCAATGTTTGATAGATTCACTGACATGTGGCTCGCTTAGCTGATTTCATCTTGGTTTGTGGTGTCCAGAATTAGATGTACTTGCAAAGAACAAAACAGGTACTTCAGGATTCAGCAGCTTCGTGAGCGTCAACCTTAAAAAGATCAATCTGGGTGGAAGGTTTGTAGAAGCTGCAGTAAACTCTGCCTCAAACTCTCAGATGAATTACATTTGTCTTCCTTTGGGTTCATGCCATGATTCAGTTTCGGTGTATTTCCACCCTACAAACGGTTGAAAAAACAACAGAAAATAATAACTTCTTGAAAATTCAATGAAAAGTTCAATTTAATATTTGTTCCACTTAGTTGCTAACCATGTCAATCTTTCTGTTCCTGCACATATTTGATGGTAATGACGAAATTGATTGTAGCAACTTCTCATTAACAGACATGTTACAAATGTTACTGGCAGACCTTTTCAACTGCACCTAATTAATCATGCATTTCCAATTGACTTGTCAGTCCCAAGGTAGCCCCTGCCCCAAAGCATACCCTTTTATGGTCTGTTTTACTCTAAATGGGACCATCAGTTACTAAATGAACATCATGCTGTATGGAAGAAGACTGAAACTAGATAAGGATAGGAAACTGTTTACTGAGCTCAAATGAAGTGAGAAGTCGGCTAATTCTCCATAAGACTGCATGGTATCTGTTTTTATTGCATTCAATGGAGCTGCCCCCTGCTGGCCTTGACATAGAATGCAGATTAAAGACACTTCCTGGGAACTTGTCCATTATATGACCTGTCAATGATCTATACTAACCTCTTTAGCGGCCGCCATACCAACCACCTAGCTCAAAGCTTGATGTGATGGATTCTCACTTGACTTCATTAACATGCTGTGTCGAACTGTCTCCACAGGTAAGGCCATCATTGAGAACATTACAGACGCCATCTATGGCAGCAGGAAGACCATCTGTGTGATCAGCCGGCGCTACCTGCAGAGCGAGTGGTGCTCCAGAGAGATCCAGATGGCCAGGTGAGGGCGCTCACATCCAGCAGCACCTCCTGCTTTTATCTCACAACCTCCCGAACGGATCCAGTCCTCTGAATCGTCCTCATGGTCTGTCCTGTGTTGTCTTTGTTGCAGCTTCCGTCTGTTTGACGAGCAGAAAGACGTGTTGATCCTGCTGTTTCTGGAGGAGATCCCGGCCCAGCAGCTGTCTCCCTACTACCGCATGAGGAAGCTGGTGAAGAAACGCACCTACCTGAGCTGGCCTCAGGACGGCCAACACGCAGGTGTCTTCTGGCAGAACGTCCGGAGAGCTCTGGAGACAGGGGACACTGTCGCCGACAACACAGACCTCCTGACTGGACCAGCAGGCTGCTAGCCATACTGTTAGCAAGCTAACATTAGCCAGCTAGCTGCAACCCAGCCACACTGAATAACGTTATAGAGTTAAACTTACAGAGACACACTTACACAGACATGGTGCACATATGTTTAGATTCAGTGTGACTTTCACTTATAGAATATCAGTAACTCTGATGTCCACCCTGAAAAGGACTGACTGAGAATCATCAGTTTTTAAATTTCCGTTATTTGTCGTGTCTCAACTCAACTTTTGACAGACTGGTTTGAAAGGTTTTGTTACACTTGCTTCTGCTTCATACATATATCCGTGTATATATGTATTTAATTCATTGCCACTGTTGGAATTAAAATTTAAAAAAGGAATACAGGCTACCAGTCATATAAATGTACTACTGCACATAAGTAAAAAGGCAAATACTCTTTGTAAATGAGCTTTTAATATGGTCCAACATATGTTTTAAAGTTTTTTCTTGCCTTTATGATAAAGATAGCTGAAGATAGACAGGAGAGGGGGACACGCAACAAGGGGCTGCAGGTTGGATTCGAACCCTGGGCCGCTGCACCAAGGACTCAGCCTCGGTACATGGGTCACCAGCTCTACCCACTGAGCTAACTGGGTGCCCATGGTCCAACATATTTGAAGAAGTTACCATTTTTCATTTGTATTAATCTTTAAGAGTTATTACGTTACATTATCCTCAGGCCTATTATTTTTATATTAAGGTTGGAAAAAGCTGTATGGTAGCTCGTCAAGTCTAGCTGCATAACAAAGCATGCTTGCCTAATGTAAAAAATGATCGCTATTTTGTTTTCCTAGCACCCAGCTAAAAAGGGTAAAAGGTTTGTTACGATTTTGTTTTATATGGTGTTTAATGTTAAGTCATATTATGGTGCCTTTTTGTAATTTTGTAGAGTTTTAAGGTAGAACGTTTATGCTAGCAAGACTGCTATATTAGCTCATTTGAGGCAACTCTGTCGGTCTCAAGGAGCCATTATCCCGGTGGAGTTTGCTTGCTGTTACGGTTTTAATGAATGCTGCATTTGTGTGTTTACTGTAGCCACAATATATGACATTAAAGCTGCATATGTGACATAAAAACTCACTTGATGTTAAATATATTTACGTATAGCACTTTATCAGAGATTGTCACTCAGCTAAAAGTGTTAAAAAGGTGATATTTAATCATTTGAATATTATATATGAAGTTAAAATGACATTTGGATCAATTAAATATTGTAAGGCTTTAGTACAATAACTTTGTCGTCAGAATATAAAATATTAATAATGTTTCACTTGTGTTTCTGTAGCTCGTTGTGTTCCAGATGTATTCAAGGCTTAAGGGAGCTACAGTGTTTTGTTTGCTCATCAATAAATACATTGTGAACCATCAGTTAAAGAGTAGACCATCATTCAGCCGGGGATGCTACACTCTTTATACTTAATACTGTGATCTTTTGCACGTTCCTGCACAAACTGTACATCATCCATTTAAAACAGCCATTTTGTACACACTGTCTATAAATATTTGCATAGTCTTTATGACATTTTGCTTTCATATATTATTGTTAATTTTCTATTTTTCTTTTTATGCTTCCTTACTTGCAGTCTTTGTTTCCCTTCTGTGTCCATTGTTATGCTGCTGCTGAATATACGGAGACAAATTCCTTTATGTGAAAACCTACATGGCATTAAAACTCATTCTGACTCTGATCTTATGTGTCAGCCTCTGTGACTGAAGAACAATTAAAATAATTAAACGTTATTCCTAAAGGCGGCAATACAACAAAGTCTAATATGAGAAATAACTGATGCTAACGCTACGTTACGCTACAACATATAAACTTCATGTGTCGGCCGTCTGAAGGTTCGACCGTGAGCCTTGTTAATCTGTCTGACCTCACTGATTACACACACTCCTGTCACAGACGCTCGTTAAACACTGTATGTGGTCGGTATCATTGTGTGTGTGTGTGTGTGTGTGTGTGTGTGTGTGAGAGAGAGAACAAGAGAAGAAATTAAAAACTGACAGCAGTTTGTTGATGAAGAAAAATGACATTATATTAGTATAGATTTCGCATTTAAAAATCAATATTTCATTATATTAAGTGAGTTTTTTTCACTCTGAGCTTTTACAGTCAGTTTATTAGATTCCATGTTTTTAGATTTATTTTATTATTTATGGCGAACTCTGGACTGCATGTGGCTTTCAGACTAATTATTTAATTTTAGTTATTATTGATCACCCTTCTAATATTGAACACATTGAGTATGTGTATGCTACAGTTAGTTGACTACACTGTATATGCACTGTAATTCAGATTTAGTGATGATATGCATGAACTTTAAATACATTTTACAGGTTGCAATGAAAAATGGAGAGAACAACATTTCCTCTAGCGCCACCTTCAGGTGAAAATTCCTACTTCTACAAGAAATATGTGAAGGATAACTGACAATAACACAAGCTTATCATCACATCATCAATATAAATACTCACCAAAAATGTTATTCAGGTAACGCTGCGTTTCACCGGTCGCCTGTCGATGGCGTCATATCCCCTTTGTGCCTGCGTCAGCGTTGTGGTTGTCTGCCAGAAGCTGTCATACATTGACTGTTTATCCAGTCTGAAGCCACATTGTTACCATCCACTCTTTAGATCTTGGTGCTTTTTAACTCTAGATTTGAACCTGATGAAGGATTTTAGTCATCGGACGTCTGGATCTTAAGTTATCAGAGAAACAAGCTGAGCTAACGTTAGCAGCAGCTCGGCCCGCTGCCCCTCAGTGTGGGTCAAGAGTCATAATTATGTTATAAAAAGTCAAATATGAGATCAAAAGTTAAATCCGAACATGTGTTAATACCATGTGTAAACCAGCTTCTAGACATTAATTAATCGATTAAATATTCAATTATGACTCATACATAGCCTAGTTACTCAGGAGAATTATTTAATCAATAATCACATTTATTGCTCTGATAATAGTTATTGGTACTTTTTAGTTAACTGAGCCCACAGTGCTGATTCACAGTTCATGCAGTGTAATATTTTAAGTAAAAGTACAGAAATTATTGGATTAACCTTTAAGTGTCTCTGTTTTTGTGTTTAACTGCGGTTCCCAAACAATCTAGCAAACAGCAGGATCGTCAGCGTGTTATTGATGGCTACATAAAGCGGCTGTATATTTAACAGCAGGTCCACTGTGTGTTATTGATCAGGGACATAAATCTGGTTCAGGGTCGATCGGTGTCCCAAAAACAGCCACGTCCAGCCGCTCGCTGATTAATTAAACCTTTAATTTCCTCAGTCGATACTTCCTTAATATGCCTGTATTGATCCGGCCGTGTGTGTGTTCCTCATACATCATTAGTGAGCAGTCTAATTAATCAAACTCAAATTGCAATGAAAGATGCACTATCAGAGATTCACTCTCTTCTTCATCTTCACCTGTTATTTTCTGCTCATTATTGCTTCATGTTTTATTAAAAAGTAGCTAATGTGACTTCTAATGTGCTAATCTTGTTAGTAGCAGCTTTGTTCTAAGATCACATCCTCAGTTATATTGTTCCCCTATTTAACAATGTCTGCCACTTTACACAAAATCAATTTATTTTGTTTTTATATCAAAATCCAATCATTGTGTCTTCCTGTAAAACAAAATGTGATGTGTGCTTACGTCAGCATGAACTAACTAATTTCAACCAATAATATCAGACATCCACCCGTCAACCAATCTTCAACTTTTAGCGACACAGAGCGAAGATTCATTAGTTAGCTAGCTAGCTAACAGCATGGCTAGCTAGCGGAGCTCACTGATCACTGTACAAACACAACTTTATCAGAGATTTGGGTCAAACTGGATCATATTTTATGGAGAGAATATTGTCTGGTTTTCCCTCTGACGTCCTCCGGCCGCTGTGCCTCAATTATTCTAACTGCTAATGTAGCTGCCGTTAGCTAACTGTTAATGAAGCTACCATTAGTGTTAGCAACCGAACGGGGCTCAACAGCCTCCCAGTGAACACAACCTCCGAGGGCAGTTTGAGGGTACCGACAGAGCCCGTCTACGGAGAGCCTGTCCTCTCTCTATTAAGTCCCATTATACTGAATACTGGTTGCAGTTCCAGCAGAGGTCCACTGGGGGCGATCGCCCATCAGTGCAGAATGAATGGGAGCAGATGGAGCTAGACGGCTACATTTGTCTCTTTCACCTGATTGTCGTTGAGAAATCTCAGATTTGATTGTAGTTTTTGCAAGTTCAACATGGGTTATAGGTCGAAAGTCTCTAAAAAAAACACCCAGCAATGTATAATTTCTTTGCGTCCCCTTTCGAATGCAACATTCAAATTACTAGACAAAAAATTCTATCCTGAGAAAAGTGGATTTTGAGGGTATAGCTCCATAGAGCTCCATTCATTCTGCACTCATCCTGTGGGCGCCCTCACATGGAGCCAGAGGGGAACTGCAACAGTTCAGAACCCAGAAGTTTACTGAGAGTGGAAGTTCTCCCCTTATTAGAGATTCTCTGGTACAGAGGTGATTTATGGAGTTTCCAGATGGACTAATAAACCTTCTTGAACTCTGATAAACTTAAACATGTTTGTCTTCCTGCATAAAAATGTGCCGCAGACAGAGAATGTGAACAATGGAAAGACACACAGAATTATCTGAAACATTTTGGCTTGATGACGTCACATCAAACTTTTTCTTTAAAGTTTTATGTTTTATTTTGCAGTCGAGCAAATTAAAGGCATAAAAAGAGGGAGATTAAAATCTGAATGAAGCCCATAAAGTAAAAAGCAGAGCTGCATTAAAACAAACCTTCAGAGACACATTTTACTTTAAGTGCTTTTCATAGAAAACTCTAAACTACGAGCTCCGCGGCCGTCTCCAAAACTTAATGGCCCAAAAATGACATGGTTGCCTGGCAACCACTCATCAGATCACAGCTCTTCATTCAGAGGCCGGAGACATTAAAAGTCATCGAGTGGAAGGAAAAGAAGAGACGGAGAAAACCTTCAAACTGAAACAATCTGCTGCCGTTACACCTCTTCTGACCTCCATTAGCCCGCAGTTAACTGCCAGAGACACAAAAACACGTCTTTACTCTGAAACACTGCGGCTCTTTTAACTATGGAGGACCAGAACCCACCAGGAAGTTTAATCCAGAGACTCGTTTACAACCTCGGACTCATCGTCATACGTCACACTCCAAACCCGAAACTGAGGACGGTTGAGTCTGTAAAATAATAAAGAACCAGTTACCGGCTCTGAATGTGCTTCAAGTTTCGGCCACAAGGGAAGAAAGACAACAGAGTCTGTGGGATCATGGGAGTTGCTGTCCTCACCACCATTGGCGTCATTGCAGTCAGCTTCTCCGGGAGCCCAATGATCCACAGAGGTCTCCTCCTCTCCAAAACAAACAGACCCGCTGATTAAAACCACTAAACACACTGAATAAAGCAGTTCCACCTTAACAATCACTGCTTCTCCCACGCTGTTGGACAGACAAAGGACGTCCCGGAGGGGCTGCGAGCTGAGCTGCTGCTAACATTGGCTCAGCTTGTTTCTCTGATAACTTAAGATCCAGACGTCCGATGACTAAAATCCTTCATCCGGTTCAAATCTAGAGTTAAAAAGCACCAAGATCTAAACAGTGGATGGTAACAATGTGGCTTCAGACTGGATCAACAGTCAATGTATGACAGCTTCTGGCAGACAACCACAATGCTGACGCAGGCACAAAGGGGATATGACGCCATCGACAGGCGACCGGTGAAAGAGATCGGGACTGAATGCAGCATCTGATGCAGACTGCTTCACTTAAACGCTATTTATTGTAATTTATTGTTATTTACGTATTGCATTTAATTTATAATAACGTTGGTCGGAACAGGATCTCTGTTATATTTCCAACTGCAGAATAAATATACATAAAGAAGTCTTTTTTAAAACCGATGATGGTCCTATTAGCTAAGGTGTTTATGCCTCCTCTTTTTCTCTCTATCCCAGAATTTAAATTAATCATCAGTATATTTGTCCACTCCGGAAGATATGCCCTCCATTTTAACTCCCCTTTGCCCTTAATCCCACACACACACACGTCTCGGTTTCAAACACACACAGAACACAAACACACTCTGGTGATTTCTGTATTTCCTGTCTGGTTATCAGCTGTCATTGAGGAGCACATTGCAGCCTCCTCGCTCTGTCAGCAGTCTGCCTGCTGACGCCAGTAAAAATCATTTCTCTGAATCCTCTCACACAGAAACCGCTTTATCTCACGGAGCCGAGCTGCAGGTTAAAGGAGCCT